GGGCGGGCGGGCCTGCCGGCCGGCGCGCTCAGGTCGCCATCGCGGCTCTTGCGCTATGCGGAGCGGACGGTTCGTGGTGGGGGTGGACGTGGGCAGCACGGTGCTCAAGTGCCACGTCTACGACGGCGCGGCCGCGCTCAGGGGCTCGAGCTGCCGCAAGGTGAGCGCGGGCGGCCGCGCTGCGCGGCCTGGGGCGGGCGGGGGCGACGCTGCTGCTTAAAGCCGCGCAGACCCCGCCGGCAGCGCAGGGTGAAGTTGGGGGGTGAAAGCAGGCGCTTTTGTCCGTGTCCCCGCGGGCCGGCTGCGCTGCTCGGCCCCCAGCGCGGGGCCGCGCCGGGAACCGCCGCGGGGCGCCGGGCCCTGCCCGTTTAGGTGCCTTGCCCCTAAGGGGGCTGACAGGACTTACCGGGGTCTGGAACTCATCCACCGCTGCCATCCTCCGCCGTCATGATGATGAAAATCGAATTTCTTCTCTCTCTATTTTTGTTTTTGCTTGCGCTTTTCTTTTTCATTTCTTTTGTAAGCGCATTGCACAGATTTTTGTTAGGACCCTTAGTGTTTGTGTGAGCAGGGTCTCGTAACCGTGCGCTTTACCTTTGTGAGCAGCTTGAGTCGCTCTATCCTCATCCTGGATGGGTTGAATTGGATCCCGAAGTGCTCTGGAGTCAGTTTATTGAAGCAGTAAAAGAGGCTGTTCAAGGTAATGCTTACAAAGCTCTGAGAAAGAAAATGTATATATTTGTTTAAAATAGTTAAGCTTTTTTTTTTCTTTTCTTTTTTCCTTTTTTTTTAATCTATTAAGAGATCTTTTACTGGGAATTTATTATTGAGTGTAGGACTACAGAATACTTTAAGGCCTAATTAAATCATTACGTGAAATAGGGCACTTCAGTTACTTGTTTATTTAAGTGGATCCAGGTTAGGACTGAAGCAAGCAGCAGTTGTACATACAGGATTTACATGTGGGTGACAGCACTCTGTTGCTTCAGCTTATTCTTCATGCCCCTTATCTCAATACCTTATTGCTTTTTTTCCTTAAAATGCTTTTTTTTTCTGTCTGTGTTGATGGACATGGAATATAGGCCTTTTTCCTGCCCTAATTCCCTGTTTGTTATTCTGCAGCAGCATGTATTTTGTGTGCGTGGATGTAGGATAGAGTAAGGAGGAGTGCATCGGACCTGCCTGCTCCTCTTTTCGTGCTATTACAACCTGCTGCTCCGCCTGCTCTAACCAGGTCCCCCTCACTCCCTGTTTCCTGCTGCTTTCTCACCGTGCCTGCTCTGGCACGCCGGGATCCACAGCAGGCTGCTGTCTGTGCCGCCCTGATGCCAAGAACCCATCAGCTCTCGCTTTCTCACTAGGTCCCAACCTAGGAGACAGGCGGATTAACCGCCACACAGCATAGGCTGCAGCTGAGTGTTTGGGACTCTGCGTCTTCCTTCTCAACAGCTAAGGCACTTCTGTGGCGAGGAAACCACTGACCCCTAAGGGCAGGGCTTTCTGCCTTCCTAATGACTAGGGTAAATGAGGATTCCCCAGCTAATTTGTTTTGTTTTTCCCCTTTGATGAGAGCTGACTTTGCCCAGAGAGCACTCCAGGGAGTAATAGGTGGCATGAGGGAAATGAGAACACGCAGCTTGTGGAAGCAGGAAGGAGTAAGTAATGCCACTTCAGTCAGCAGTGAGCTGCAGCAGCACTGATACGGTTGTGCTTTCAGTGTAGACCCAGCTGGCAAGGGAGAGGAAATGCTGCCTTTCTGAGGGTCCTGCTGCTGCATACGGGCACTACCTGCGACGTGTGTGTGGTCGGTGGCAGCAGGGAAAAGCAGATTTGATTTGAAGGGAAGAGAGGCCTGATACCATTTGACTGCGAGACTGCCAAGACTTCCTGATGAGGGAAGGGGCAGAAATGCATGTCAAGGTGGGCAGAGCAGAATGACCTGTTTCACATCTTTAGTTGTCATTCCTAGGGTCTGCAGTAAGTACTTACGTGAACAAATAACTGTACGTGAAATTCATCATTGGAACTTGTGTGAACAGGATGCTGTTTTTCACAGATTTACTCAGATAAATAGGTTGAGAGATCTTCAGAACTGTTTGAACAAACTGTATTGTGTGTGATATTAAAGTGGAATTTCTTAGTATATGTTACTTAACATAATTTTGGTTCTGCAAATAGACATGGAAAGGTTATGGAAGCTGACCAGATCTGCTTTGATATTGTTGGTGACAAATATGCCCAAACCTTAAACATTTGTATTATATTATTTATTTCCTAAAGATTACTTATGTTTATTATATAAGTATGGTATTTTTTCTCTCTTCCTTTAATCTATTGCATTTTTTGGCTTATTTTAGTTGCAGGAGTTCACATGAGGCAAATTGCTGGTCTTGGCATCTCAACACAGAGGTCAACTTTCATTACGTGGCACAGGTACATATATAATGCGTTGCTGAAACTGAATTCATATATTTGTTGTAGATTGGATGTAAACACTTGTAGGAATTATCAAGTCAAACTGCAACCTGGAACAGCAAGCAGCAATCTGTCATTTTCTGCTGTGTTTGTAGAGAGTCAGTCTGAAGCAATTTGGAGCAGTTTATGAGTTTATGCCCTTTTTGCTTTCTTCTTGGTGCTATGAAAAAAAGTTATCAACAACAAAAAAGTTATTTTCTGTTTTTCTTCAGTTTAATCTTGGTGAGAAGCCTTGCACCAAAAATTATTGCCATATAAAGTCTGTAATTAAAGCTAGTCAATTACTAACATCCAGCAGGTGTACGTACACTTATTTAGGAATTAAACGTCCCTATTAGAAGTAGTCTGTGATGTTGATTTTTGTGCAGAATATTCATGTAATTTCTAATGAAAATGTTCAAACACCGCTTTTCAGGAGGACAGGGAAACCTTTTCATAATTTTATAAGCTGGCAAGACTTGAGATGTGCTGAACTTGTGAATTCCTGGAATAGATCCCTTCTGCTGAAGGTAAAACTATACTAAGATACTGCTTTGGATTAGTTTAAGCCTTTCATTCTATGAAGATCAAGAACAAATATGAAATCTTACCAATAACATGGCCAAAAAAACAATTAAAAAGAAGCTGGGCAAGATTAGCATAGAAAATGATACCGGGAAAAGAAAAATGCAGTGCTGATAGCCTAAAGATAATGTCTCTATTAAAACATGTTTGATTCTGCCTACTCTAGGGACACTTTCAATGGAGTAATGGCATACAACTCTGTCAACTGCATTGCATTTTGTAGTCATACAGGTGAACTTCTTTTTGTAACGCATCTGTATGACATAAGTCAGAAAATCAGACTTGTTTAGAACAGTTCCTTTTTTCTGTGTACTGTTCTAGTTATTAGAATCATGAACTAGTTCTTAAAAACTACATGTGTAAGGATTCTCTAACAGAATTATAACTCTAACATCATGACAGGTACTTCATCCTTAAGCATTAACCGATAGAAATCTTTAAAGAAAGAGATCACAAAATTTAATAACTCTTTTCTTTGGAAACAGGTAATCCATGTTATTTTTACAGTGCTTCATTTCTTCACAAGGAATGATCGATACTTGGCTCCAAGTTCTTTTACTTTTTCAACAAAACAAGCTTCTTTGAAGTTGTCGTGGGTTTTCAAAAACCTACATGAGGTAAGTTGTGAAAGAAGAAATAACTTTTTTCAGTCATAATAATGGCTTGTGACTTGGCTTGCTTGTAAAGCCGTTTAGTTTTGATTGTCTTTGAAAGACAGTATTCATCAGTGTAACGTTCCGAGCATATCTGCCTGTAAAATCTATCCCCATTTATTCAACTTTTGCCCTCTGAGTTTGAAAATGTGTAGTAGTAGGAAATACTCATTTGTAAGAAACCTAAGTAGGGTGCAGAGAAATACAGCTGAAGCATTCCTGTTAGAAGAAATATTGGCAAATGGAAGCTTATTTTCTAAGGCCATTAATGTTCTTACTTGTGAAGAAAAAATGAGATAAAGTGTTCCTGCTCTCATATCCACTTGTAAATGTTCTTTTTGTATTTTTTATTTGTTCCTAGGCTGAAGAAGCTGCCAAAGAAAATAACTGCTGCTTTGGGACGATTGACACGTGGTTACTATACAGGCTGACTAAAGGTGAATGTTAGAGTCACTCGTAAGCTTGAGTAAAACATAATAGAATCTAAGTGATCGTGTTTATTGCATATCATTGTTATTTCCTAGAATTCAAATATATTTTGGCAGTTTTGCTTTTGTTATAATCGGTGAATGTTGTGTGATTATTGTATAGAAATATTTCCAAATTACTTATTCTTTGGGTCTGTCTGGTAGTGCAATCAGAAAAAGAATTATTCAGTATGATCACCTCTTAAACATTTAAGATTTAAAGGAGACATTGGGAACTAATTAGCATTGATTCTGTGAACGCAAACAAATGAAGAATTGTTTGTAATCATTTACTCAAGCGGGAGGCAGTTTTTGGAAACTAAAGAGGCAAGATACTAATGGTAGAGTCTGAGGGAGTTAGTCCTGTGTAGTTGACCACTCTAGGTTTTAGGTGGCAGAAACATGTGAGTCATGGAGAAAGTTAAGTTAGGAAAGACTTCTAGAGGTCATCAAGTCCAACCTCCTGCTCAAAACAGGGCAAGCTTCAAAGTTACATCAGGTTGCTTGGAGTCTTACTGTCCAGACATTTGATTACTTCCCAAGATGGAAATTCCATAACCTCCCTCAGAAGCAGTTCAAGCACTTACAACACACCTGTTTCACCTGGTGAAATTCCTTTTCTTATATCCAGAGAAGATACGGTTTAAAAGACAATATTTCAACTATTAGGTGCCTCTTGTCACAAATATCCAGATCAGAAATCTCTAAGTGCCTGAAATCTGCAGTTCACAGACAGTAGATATTCAGGATAATGTAAAATCCTGTCATAAATATGGTGGACTATAGGGTGTTGTCCCAGAATAGGTAACTGTGCGAGGACTAATGCCCTCAATGAGATGTCTACCCACCTCCACCCCCCCACCAAAAAAAAAAAAAAAAAAAAGTTTCAAATGATTCTTGGATATTTAGGCATATAAAAATCTTGCTTTGTTCCTTTTTTTATTGTAGGTTCCGTGTATGCTACAGATTACTCAAATGCCAGTTCCACAGGGGTTTTCGAACCTTTTACGGTATGTTGTTCAGAACAAGGCATTCTTGCTGTTTGTTTTTCATCTGACGGAATAACTGATGCTTTTTACTTTTCCCATATAATTTCAGAAATGCTGGAACCCCACTTTGTCTAGTTTACTCTCCATACCAATGTCTATTTATCCTCCAGTGAGAGACACAAGGTAACTATGAAGGCTTTTTTGAAATAATATGATACTGAATAAATTCACGGGCTGTAGGAAAACACCTCATAATATGCACAAAGTAATATATCAAGAGACAAAAATAATAAAAGATTATGTGCAGCTTTTTTGATGCTACATCTAAAACTTCATTTTTACAATCTTTCTTAAAGTGATAATTTTTGTGTTCTCTTTAAAAATAAATCATTAGCATTACCTTCTACATATGATTCAGATTCAGCTCCTGTATCCTTAGGGATTTGATTTCACAAAACAGTCAATTTAATGTTATGATGGATCTCCATTACATTTATTTTAAGCTTCAACTTTGGGTCATCTGACTCTGAAATATTTGGGGTACCTATTCCAATACTGGCATTGGTGAGTGAATTTTTTTAATTTAAATCTATACTTCTGTACCTGTATTAATAAGTATTTAGTAAGTATTCTTTTTTTTCCTTGTGTGACTTAACTGCAGTAGAATTGGTTGTTGAACTTTGCTCAAAACTCAGTTTACAACCTGGGAAAGGAGTAGAGAAAAAAACAGAATGAAAAGAGATCTTTAGATTTTAAGGTCCATAAAGGTAAGATGACCTTAATATGATTAAACACTGAAGTTAGAACTTAACAGAGCTGTGTTCTAATCAAGAACTAGCTTTCTACACTGACACTAGCTTTCTCTTCAGCTTTAAATCAATTGTTTCGGGAACAATTTTGCTGAGGTCTGGCTTGACTTTAGTAGGACTCAACACAGGTTGCTAATAGATCCTAGTGTACTTTTTTTTCCTGTTTTCTTCTCCAAAATACGTGGAGAATAAGATTTTCTTGTATGAATAGTTAGGTTTGAATTAGGAACGCTTATTATTTTTTATCATAGTTTGGAGAAAAATCTGTTCAAGCTGAGCTAAATGAAAAAAAAAAGTCATCTACCACATCTAATATTAATTTCTCAGGTTATTTTAGAGTAATTGTAAAATCAATTTATCTCTGAATTTCACTGTTTCACTAAGAAGCAAACAGCAACAAATACATTTAACAGTCATTGTCTTTGTTGGAAACATGAGCATGGAATAGGTTGATGTAAGAGTCACAGCAGGGACTGAGAAAGTTGAGACTTCACAGCTTCAACTTTGTATTTGAGGAAAGAGAAATTCAAGCTAAGTGGATGTCTTCTGCTCCCCAAGACTGCAAAATCCCCGCTTATCCTTCCTGTCAAATGCCAAAACATCAAGTGTTTCGTTTTGTTTCCATAATGCATTTTTAAATTAGTAATATAGAAAAATTTGTACAAGTCCGAATCTCATAGAATTCAATTCTAATGATGAATGTGACTGTAAGAAGGATCAACAGATATCTAACAAGTTGGATAGAAGTCCTTTCTTAATGTTCAGTTAGTTTCTGAATGGCTGCTAATCTTGAGAACTTTGAACCAATTACATGATATTTTAAAATCTAGCAGCTCTGTAGGTTTGTCTTTAATAAGTAGTATTTTTGCCTGTTTGGCAGGTAGCTGATCAGCAGGCAGCCATGTTTGGAGAATGCTGCTTTCACCCTGGAGATGTTAAACTGACTATGGGAACAGGTGCTTTCTGGAATGTCAATACTGGGGAAAGTCTCTTTTCATCATGGAGAGGTAGGCTGGTGAAATTTTGGGTTTGCAATATTTTTTGTTATTGTACAGCTCTTAATAATGAGATTTCAAAAAGAGATGAAATACAGTTATTTTCTTCCTTATGTTTTTTGCTGTAGGAAGATCGCTTGAAAACATTCTCAGAACAAAATTAAAATTGGAAAATTTTAATTAAAGTCTAATTTTGGTTATCCTGAAATATGCTTCTCAGTATACTTCTATTTCCACCCCCTTGCCATTTCTTGGTAGCAGTATTATACAATATGAGAATAGAGATAAAGAGGACTTTACTTCTGTTGTGTTGCATCAGAATCCTCCAGTGTAGGAATGGCTGTAAGTTCTGTTTCCTGAGCCCTTAGGTTTGGAGTATTTTTGGTGAGATTCGCAATTATTTTTCTTTAAAATGGACTCCCTGCTGCTTTCCTGGTATGTTAGAATTCTGAAGTTATGAACATTTGTGGTCTGCCAAGCTTGTTCATTTGTTGTAGATGGTCATTTATCGAGAGCCACAGCTGATACTGAATTATATTTGCCTGCACACTGTCTCTCATATTTTTAACAGCTACTGATTTCTAGAAGCTGACAGTTTAAAGTAGGGTGGAGACTGGTGCTCAGAAGAACTTTAAAAGCTAGAGTCAGAAGGGACCTGGCAAATAGTTGAGACTTATCAAAACTGAATGGCACTCGGTCCTGTTTTGTTAGGAATCCAAGTGTTGTTTGGACTAGTTAATGTTACCATTATGCTTTTTATACTTCTGAATTCAACTTTATGCATTGCATAGAAATGCCATAGAAAAACATACGGTAAGATTTTATGCTTCGTCTGAAGTAAACTTTTGGCTGTTGTGATCTGCTAGTATTTATTTAAATCAATGCTGTGAAATCCTTTCTTACAACTTAAGGCTATATTATTTGTATTACAATTACTTCCCCCTCCGCCTTTCTCTGCCTGCCACGTGGCACATGAAAAAGGTTAATAGGACAAGGTCGTTTTTTTCAGATCCCTGAGCATAAAATGTACTCTGCGTTCCGTCTTTAAAGTTAATATATGTATTTAAGACTGCAAGACGAATACCTACAGAATTTGCCTACAAGCTTTTTGTTAGCTGCTGTTCTAATTTCCGAATTATGTGTAATTGGTATATGTGATAGGTTTTTTTTTAATATATAAAAAAATTATTATTCCTTGAATAATAATGTTTTTCAAAATTCAATGATGGCAGCATGAGAGCGTATGGATCAACTTGGAAGATAGTTGTGGTTCTTAAGCCTTGTGAAGGTTTTATTGCAGTGACCAATTTGTCAAGCTGCAGACCTGGGAAAATGCCCACTGGTCAACTAGATGCTAAGTCCTTTGTTTTAGCATTAGGTGGTAGTTTCATGTCCTACTTAACCGTACTGAGAACATACTGTGAAAAGGTTATTTGACAGAAATAGTCTTATCAGTTTGGCAGGTGCCTGAGGACTCTGAGTTTTTGAAGTTAGGCCTATTGCGAAGTAGAGCTGAGACACTTCCCAGAGACTTGTGTTCTTACAAACATGCCAAGATGTTTGTGTTCACCTTAAAGTAATAAGTCTCTATTCAAAGTTTCAACACTTCCCTAGATGGAGAGAAAAATCAAATTACTGTGTTTATTCTCATTATTGACTGTTTCTAAATGGAATAGTACTTTCTAGGAGGCAACTCTTTGGAAGATGCCATGTATAATTTCAAATAAACTAACAGTTTAGCCTCTTTATTTCTACTTTCCTTAGAGAAAAGGAGGAAATATTCTGTTTTTCATGAAACACTGTGAAGAAAAAAGTGTTTATTGGAAATCATAACATCCTGCAAATCCCTTCCTGTAAGCCATGGATGTGCTAATCTTGTGTGACAAGCTTTGTCTGCAGTTACCATTTTTTTAAAATGAGTCTGGAGATTTGTTTATGTTTTTTTTGTATTAGGAAATATAATGGTAAAATGCTATAATTAGTGGCAATAATCTTTGTGGACACAGTGGTGGACAAATCATAACACTCATAATTTTATTGCTTTCTATCCAAGGAAGCACTGTATATTAAAAATAAATTTTGAAAGTATATCACCATTTCATTTTCTCTTATGAATAGGATCTATATTACAAGTCTGTGTTGCTTTTTCTTTGTTTATCGGTCTATTTTAGTATCTGTTTCCTATCTGGATGCTCAATGCTCATGTTTCATGTTTTGGGGAAGAAATTCAGATTCTGAAATAATTGGGGAATACTAGATGGATAACTTCTTTTAAGTATATGCAGTTTCTTAGTGATTTTTTTTTTTAAATTTACATTTGCAAATATAAATGTCAGTAGCTCATCGCTTAAAGATCTTCCTTTGTAATTGGATAGTGATTTTTAGTTCATCTTTAATTTTGTAGTTAATACTCAAATCATTTTCACTTATGCCATTTAAATTTTAAACAGAAAGCCTAACCTATGTCAGCAATGTTCTAGTTTGTATTTTATAAAGGAAGTGAACAAAAGCTGTATTTTTGTTTGATTTATTGCTGGAGGTGTATGCATACGTTTTTCTGGAAGTATTTGACTTAGATGTTTTGTTTTGTTTCATGGAAAATAATCAAGGCCTCTATCCACTGATTGGTTGGAAGATTGGGGATGAAGTTGTTTATTTAACTGAAGGCTCTTTTTCAAATGTTGGCACTGCCATAAAATGGGCACAGGAAATAAGTAAGTAGTTTTGTAATTGTGTAGCAGAGTAAAATATGTTTTATGTAGGGTGAACAGCATAAAAGGATTTTTAGCCAGCCAGCATTAAAAATAGAAGTGACCTACTGTTAAGACCATGGGCAAAAAAATTGGAAGAGGGAGGATATTATCCAGTACTGAAATTTTTATTAGCTTTGCAGCTAAAGAGAAGGGTAAAATTTTTGCTCTACAGAAATGATTGGTAGGAACCTAAGGTAAGCTGATAGCCTCCAAACTGAGCTTTCATTAAAGAGGATGAGGCTACACGTGAATGAAGACAAGATACGCAATAGGAGTGACAGTTTGGAAACAGGAATTTCTGTAGCAGAGTGGACTTAGTTTAATGGGCCTTTTTTAGTGGATCTTCTGTCTCAGGGTTTCAAAAAACTCATATGTGAAATTTTAATGGCAAAGTTTCTTATTTGTTTGTATTTATTACTTTCCCTTTTGCTGTAGTGATACTATCTGGTTCAACAGTAGCAACTATAACAGAGAGGAAAAGTGGTGGTTTAGTCTTATTAGCCCTTCCTCTGCAGCTGCAAAGTGGTTGATCAAATTTATTAATGATACAGGAGTAAATTACCAAGGTGATAATTGGAGGGGAGGGGAGTGGGAATTGAGCTCGATTAACTTGTCTTTGATAGGAGAATTTACTTGTTAGACCAGAAAAGGCAATAGACTTCAGTACAACATTCTATGTGGCCTTATAAGGAAATGATTTATTAAACTATAGAAGGTGGATATACATATGAGAATTGCCTCTGGATGAAGAAGGAGCTAAAAAGGGAATGTCTGTAGACAGTGTTGAAGAGAAAAGAATCGGGTTGGAAGATGAATAAAAGTAATGTATATTAAAGACTTGTTATTGAAGACCTGCCTTATTTGTACTTTGATGTCAGTCACTTGTGTAAAAATAATAAATAAATTTAAATCTCTTGATAAAGGATGGTCGGTAATAGGAGCTTAGTAGTCATTGATGCTTGGGCTGACAACTGCATCCTGAAAGAAAAGATGTTTTATGTATTTTGCAACACCTAGGTTTTTAATATATTTATAGGATAATGTTAGCCTTCTTAATTCCCATTTGTATCCATATGAAAATCCGTATGATTTATATCCATAGAAAACTAATGGCCTTCTTAAAGGATGTGAGGATTAAAAGGCTATAACATAAAAGCTAGGAAAGAGTCTTTTTGAGTTTAGCCTATTTCTAACTAGAATTTTTTTATGTGACTAATGTAAATGAACTACAGGGGGAATGTTGTTTTCTCTTAGAATGTGTTGGATTGAGAAATACTACAAAAGGAAATAGTTAACTCTAGATTTTATAAAGTTTATAAAGAAATCAAAATAAACATTAAATGTGTATGACTTGTGCATCTTCTACAGATCTTTTCACTGATGTACATGAAACGGCAAAAATGGCACGGAGCATTGCTGATTCTGAAGGCGTTTGTTTTCTTCCAGGTTTTCAGGTAAAATAGTTATTGTTACTATAATTGAGAATATGTTCTTAATAACACTTTTAAAAGTATAATCTATTGGTTTTTTTATATAGTAATTTGCATCTTAACACCATGTATTCTATCAGCTGTGTTCTACCCAGGATCTTGGGCTGTGTCCCTCACCACAACTGCAGATCATTGTGATATCAGAATACTTAAACCCACAAGAAAAAAGCATACGAAGTAGAAAAGATTAGTTCCGTTTTGCAGATGGAGAACTGATGGACAGATAAACCAAGGGACATCCCCACAGTAACAGGGGAAACACAGACAGCAAAAACACATAGCTTTGTCTCATGCAGAGCCTTCATAGAGATGATACCTTCAAAGCACTGCAATAAAATAATTTATTTTATTCTGCCCATTTCAAGATAAGTTACAATTCAGCAGAATGCCTAAATACAAGTAAATTTGTTTTTCTGGAATACCTGATTTTTCATCTGGACTATGTATTCCCTGTTTTACTCCAGGATTAGTGCTTTGCTGCTGTTTTTACTGACCACAGTGATAAGGAGCTCCTGGTGTTTGCTCTCCGTTTTGGTCCTCTGTTTTTCCCAGTAGCTTCCTTGTAACTTCCTCTTTATTTGAGGGACTTCCTGCAATTCCTTTGTTGACTTCAGGACAAGCTGTGGCTGCTGTCTACTTATTCTCTGCTGTGTACTTATTTTCTGTTTATGCTGGAGACAGTATCCTTATGCCTTTCCTTTCCATCTCTGATGCATGATCCCTCTCAGGTTTGGTTACGGAGCTGAGTCGCTGTCCCTGTGTGGAGATAACAAAGGGAGATATTGATGCTGCAGTTCAATATTAGTTTAAAATAGGATCTGCAGGAATTTTGGTTAATATGTTAAATAACAAATTATGATAGCTGAGGAGTTGACATACTGCCTCTTCAGCCACAGAGAAATTGCTTTGCTTATAGTTTTGTTAGTCACAATAGTTAGTGATTTGTCTCCACAAAATATGAAAGAATTGCAAGTCACAGCTGCTAGACAAACCTCTTTACAGAACGGAAATAAATAAATTTTTGTAATGCAGCTATTACAAGGTTAAGTATTGTGCAGAGTTCCAGAAGCTTAGGGTCCTAACATTACCTACTATTAATGGAAAAAAAAGGCACAGGAAAGTTTAATTTTCTTTACAGAGAACCCAGCTACCTTGTCTCAAACAGCTGCCTTATTCGTTAATTTTATTTGTAGATATACAGTGCTTGGTTAGGATTCTTCCATATTGTGTTAATACAGTGATAAATTGTGCTTTGAGAAAGCAAGTGTTGAGCCATGTCAAATTCTTGTGTTTGTAGATAGGAATCCTGAGGTAGACAAATACTGACAAATGGTGATTTGAATCTTCTCTGAAACTCTAGTTCAATTAATATTCAGTCCAGAGATGTTGGTAAAGCCTCATTTTTTGGCTTGTGGTGGTTTTCCCCCCCCACCCCTACTTTCTTGGTATCTCTAAAAGGAACCTCAACAACTAAGTTCTTTTCAAACATCTACTGAGTCTTTCTTCACTGGATTCTTATAAGCTCAACACAAATTTAAGATCTGTACTTAGGAGAAACTCTGTGGAAGGATTTCTCTTTAATTTTGATACCTGCTAACCTATAACAACCTACCCAAGTGTTTGGGGGTTTTCTTGGACTTTTAAAAGAAGTCCATTATAGAAGAGTGCATTGTAATTAAAAAAAAAAAAAAAAAAAAAAAAACTGCCTACAGCATGCATGGGGGATTTAATGTTGTCACAAACTAGCTATGAACTAGCAAACCAGTATCTTGTCATGAAGTTGACCAAAGAAATGGAGGAGAAATAGAGAAGAGATTCATAATCTGTCCTCCAGTTCTCCTGCAAAAGAAAACATAATCATTAAAATTTTAACTGAGAATGTTACGTTATTGTCATTGAAAAGGGACTGCAGTATAAATTCATAAAAGCAATTACTAACCTTTTCAATGCTGTTCAAAAAGGTCTTTTTTTTTTTTTTTTTTTTTAGCATTCCAGAAACTTTAAAAAGGAAGAACAGGATAAACCTAGTTTGGCTAGCAAACAGCAGTATCAGTGTGCCCTGTCACAGACACTTTAAGTGTATGCTGTTTTCCTTTAAGGAGATGGTTCTGTAGATTAATGTTATTTAGTATAAAGACTCCCAAAGTCTCTTACAGTAAACCGTCTGCTGTTGAAAGAAATTATTTAAACTGTTCACTGAGTAGCTAAAATAACGCTATTAACTGCTTACGTACTGTTTTCGATTTTCTTCTTTCACTATGCTGCCTATAATTGTCGTAAGTTATTTTTTTCCTTACTATATGACTCTTTTCTCAAAAGTCATCAAATATAATTGAACTCACTGTGAAACCTTTTCTCTAGGTTTCAGTGCATGACCCATATTCATGCGCCTCTTTCATGGGGCTGAAACCTTCCACTACCAGAAACCATCTTGTGCGCGCTATGTTGGAGTCTGTAGCTTTCAGGTACAGCTTATTTTGTTATATTTTCTCTTACTTACTGCAATTGTTTCTAAAGCAGGTTTTTTTTTTTTTTTTTTTTTACTGTAAAAGAAACATTAGTTTCTAGTGGTGTGTGGAATTAAACATTGCATGTCTTAAAAACAGAGATGTTAAGTACCTCATCTCATCCAAAAACTAGCACAGAAAAAGACCAGAAACTATTTGTCTTCAGATTTGCCCCCATTAAGTGGAATGGCTTCAGAACAATCAAACTTACAGCCTTGAGAGTTTCCCTTTGAGACAGCTGGAGAAACTCTTAATAATATTTCTGTCATTTCCCTTCCTCACTCAAAATTACTTGTTGTGTCAGCCATATTATCTCATCTGTGAAGGCCTGTAATCTATTTCAGGTGCAGTAATGAGCCTTCTATGGTGCCTTGTTATAGAAGGCAATGTATCCGTCCTTGCGCCTTAATAATGATGTGTAAGAGAGGCCAGTTTTAGCTTTTTTTTTTTTTTTTTTTTTTCTCCCTTTCTTTCTTTATTCAGTGATCCATTATGGAAGTTTGTTAACTCTTGACTAATTTTGACAAAATTGGGGTATATTTGCCTTTTACTTTTTGATTGTGAATATATTAGAGACCCTTTATATGGTATATATGGGAATGTTTAATTGAGCTAAATTTTTTTTTTTGAAGAAACAAACAACTTTATGATCTCATTGTGAAAAGGATAAACATTCCTCTTCGAACTATTCGGTAAGTTCCATTTAACTCCATGAGAGTTTTTGTTAAATAGATGTGAACTTGACTGTTCATTTTGTCTTATTGTAACCATTAAGAAATAAGTAATTGATTACCAGATCTAACGTTGATGTAATTTAGAAAGTGACAGTGGAGGTTGTCTATAAGAGGGTCAATGACTAGATAAATTATTGGCATTAATGGCTGTCAGCAAATAGTTAACCTTGCACTGGCTTCAGAAAAGGAAACAAAAAATATGTTTTCTTATGTAGCATTGGGATGCATATAGTGGTGTCTGTTATGAAGGTCACTTCCCCCTTTCTTATAAAATCCTTTCATGGTATTGTTTTGTGCTGGATCTGTCGCAGATTGAGTTTTTCTGAAGTCTCAGATTAAAACTGGATCTATTTGTGAGGGTAAACAGAAGAATATTGTGTTGCTAAGAATATGCTATACTTGGAGAAGAAGACTAAACTTAGTGAGGTGCCCTGGATCTCCAGTGCATGTGAAAACTGCCTCTTGGACAGTTTTAATCTGGTCAAATTATATGTTGATGAAAACTATCTTACGCATGTGGAAGTGGAAACAAGTGGAAGCTTGGTTTGATAACAGCAGGCATTTGGGGGAATGTCTCTATCAGACAGACCCAATGTAGAGCCTCTAATGCTGAGAAAAGCTCTCTGAAATTGCTCCTTCTGACAGGCAGGGGTCATCATGATTTCACAGACAAGAACTAAGAGCGTCGTGCTCTTTATTCTCAAAGCCATGCAATGGAAGAAGTAGACTGAGAGGCATCTAGACAGTTAAGAAATGAAGATTTGGAGTGGTGGAAGAAAGGTGAAAGTACAAAGGTGGGAGGAGGTAAAGGTTTCTATATGCCATGACACGGACACAGTAGGGTAAGATGAAGCAGCAGTCAGGTGTGGTTGCAGCAAAGATAAATACAGGTCCAGAGTATTGGGGATTTCTGATTCCAGAGGAAGCTTAGTTTAGTTTAGCTTAGTTTGAGGTCTTCAAAACCCGCCTGGATGCCGCCCTGTGCCACATGCTCTAGGTGTGCCTGCTTGAGCAGGAAGGTTGGACTAGATGATCTCTAGAGGTCCCTTCCAACCTTGAATATTCTGTGATTCTGTGATACTTAGAAAATTGCTTGTAAAAGTTTAGAAAGCAAATAGAGATTGCAAAATGCAAAGTGGGCAAGTACCAGAAATAAGACAGCTTACTGAATCTTAGAATCATTCTGTTCTATGTTGTGATGTATTTCTTAAATCCTGTGGTTTCTTAAAACCTTGTTTTACTCGATACAAAGTTACTGTGTTGTGCAGTGACTGTAATAGAGGTAACAGTAGCATTTTTTAGCATGTGGATGAAGCATTAGAGAAAAAAGAGATATTCTTGATGGCTTTTTTACTAGTTCTTCAAGTTGCTCATTTTTTCCTTTGGTCCCCACACATTTCATACCTGTCCATAGCCTCTGATTTTTATTCCTATCTTCTGTTAATGTGTCCTTATCCTCAGTTGAATACATCCCGTCCCTCATCCTCATTTCCTGTATCCTTCTCCCCAACCTATGATTTCTAGAAGCTCCTGTCTTATTTTCATTGGTCCTCTTCATCTCTATTACTTCTCCTGGCTTGTCTCAACACTAGCAAGGCAAGCACAGAGAAAGAAACCTCTTGTCTTTTTAGTCCTCATGTCTCATGTTGCAACGCTCTGCTGCAGCCATTAAAGGCAGTCCTCGTGCTTGCTGGACTCTTGGATTGTTGGTATTCAGTTGCTCAGTGGAGATAGCCCATTCCCAGCCCAACAGCATGCAGGAACTTGGAGTGGGTGCTCTGCAGACTGCATCACCATTTGCTGTATGCAGCAACAGAATTTAACAGAATACTTTTGTATGAGTATTTGCAAATCTTGGATTTGTCCCATGTAACTTGAATCAAGTAGATGTTTTGTTTCTACAGAACAAGAAAAGGGCATGTAATTGGCATTAAGGGAGTGACTTTTCCAGATCATGTTTCTATTCCAAAGTGTAGAAGAGGTAACATTTCTTGATTGTATATACAAACAAGTAAAACCCCATAATATCTCTGATCAGGCAGATGTCTCCTGGTTTCACTCTTGGAAACAGACAAACTATTTATATACAGGTTTTCAGAGGCTACATGTAGAATGGAAGATTTTGGCTGGCATATTTAAATTGATGAAACGTCTTAATTAAACAATACTTTCTGTAGTAGTCAGCTACAGATGTGTCTACATAACTGAGTAGTATTGGAGTCCAGTGGTATAGACAACCAGTATATGACAATGTAAAGGTCTTTTTTTTTTTTTTTTTTTTTTGTTACAGCTGTTTTTCAACGATAGGAGGCAATTATTAGGAACTGTTCTTAGCTGATTAAAGATCAATATTAAGTACTAGTTTTCTCTATTAAAAGAGTTTCAGACATGATGTAGTTAAGAAGGAAGTAAACAGAGAAAAGACAGATGAAATCCTCGTTCTCATCCTCCTGACTGAAAGGGGAAGCAACTGTGAAGGCATTTCATCTTACTAGTTCCAAAATTTGCTAGTAATGGGAGAACTCTATTTTTCAAGATCTGAGAGCACTTGGATGGGTTTGTTTAATGTAACGATTTTGTCATAACCTGGTGGTAACCATATAGAAATTCAGTTATAAACCCTAATGTTTCAATCATTATAATGTATCTCAAATCTTCTGTCAATGTCGTCTTCTTCCCCTGCTACTCCTTCCCTAAAGGGTGGGGGTTTTTTTTCATTTGTTTGTTTGTACTGGCCTCCTAAATTGCCTATAAAGTGGAAACATATTTGTGCATGAGTAATAAGATTAATGCGTAGGTGTGAAAACCAAAAAGCTATTTCCGAAAACTTTGGTAATAAACATTTAAATTGAACCTACTTTTATGTTTTCTCTCCCTCTCCCCACACAGAGCTGATGGAGGTGTCAGTAATAATAGCTTTATCCTGCAGATGACTTCTGATTTGATTAATAAGAAAATAGAAAAGCCTGTAAATGCAGATATGTCTAGCCTTGGAGCAGCATTTCTGGCAGGTCTTGCATCAGGTATGTATACCCTGTACACAATAGGTGGGGTTTTTTAATGCAAATATATAGATAACAAAAATCAAGAGAAAATGAATCATTTCAAATAAGTATAAAATCCTCCCCAAAGATTAGTTTTGTTATTTCTCAGAAAAAGCAAGGTAAGTGGTGATGATGATTGTGTGGTGCTTTTTACCCATATACTAGTATTTGATTAACCAAAGAACAGAGCATAGGGTAAAAAAGACGATTAAAGGAACATAATTATTTTTAAAATTATACCCTGATTTGCTGAGCAGTTGTATGCTTTGTAGTTTTAAGTAAGTGAATAGTGACAGTGAGCTTAATGGGAAAAGTACCTCTGTATAGGTTTGTAGGGGTTAGTTTATGTTCAAAGGGCTATCCTGCCAGAGAAAGAAGTGTCGGAACCTCCCTTTTCCCAAAGCCCCGTGTTCTGTATCCGATGCCTTATTAGCAGTGCTCCAAGCAGCACATGGTGTGGATGGACAGTGTGACAGGGAAGCTGCCATGCTTGTGTGCAACCTTGTTAGCCGCGTGGAAGCTATGTCCTGTCAGCTGTGTTTTCACAGAAAAAAGCACAATAGACATGCAAACTGAATTATTATCTGAAAAAAAATCCCATCTTCACGTAAAATTAATATAGCTAGCCAGACTTAAAGCTAAAAAATCTCAATTGCTCTATAGTTCTGCTTAATGGTTTACTTAAATCATTGCCCAATAGTTTACTTAATATTTTGTAGATGGATATATCTATCGAATTGCTTTGGTATGTACATAACACAGTTTCAAGATAAAAATCTCATACTTGAGTAGAAATTGCTGAATCATTAAAACTGTAAGGAAGCTGTCTGAGATGTCCACTGCAGCCCTGGACAGACAAGAATGTTTCAGTTGTGTAAACTAATCTGAATAGGTAACATCAGCTGTTTTCTGGCATATGTCCATTTTTGTTAGGGCAGAAGGAAGGTAACTAGTGCTGAATTTTGTTTCTATGGCTCGTCTTACTTGAGAGGGACCTGTAGCACACCAAAAGCACACTGTTGATGAAACCTTAATGAACTTCACTGTACCAGGGTTGTTCTTTGGAAAGTCTCCCAGTTAAGCAGATGTGCAGTTGTCAGGATTCCAAACAAGTGGATGCTATTGGAACGGAGTTTCACAATATAAAAAATATGCTTTCCTCTGAGAAATTTGTTGGTTCAATAAAAAAGTAAAAGAGATTTCTTACTGTGTTTCTGCTTTGGATCTCTTGGCAATAAAATAAAATAATTCAAAAATAATACACTTGCAATTGAGCTTGAGAATGAACTTTCCATTTATAGGATTGTGGGCTGACAAAGAACAACTAAAGAAGCTGAGGCAAGTAGAAGCAGTTTTTGAGCCTCAGAAGGACTCAGAAGAATACAAACTGGCTATGGATACGTGGACACAAGCGATGCAACATGCACTGCAACACTGGTAGAGATAGGTATTTTAATGATGGAAAAATTCAGGTGTTCAAATCAATCTTCATTAAACCTTGAAATCAGCAGTCCAATTAAAAAAATGAAATTTGCAATGGCATGTATACATAAAGTTATACGGTACTTGAGTAACCCCCCTACTGCTAGATTACTTGCTACTCTGTAATGAACCCCCCTATGGTCCTTATGACAGCTGTGGTCCAGCTGCAGCATTTGTGTCCCTTCAGTGACCTCCTTGGGGTGGCCCAGCTGCTTGAATCTTATAACCATGTTCTAGAGGTGGGAAGGTTTTTCCCATGATGGGTTTTCTACTGAGGAACTTGCCTTCCTTCTGATCTTTAAAAGCTTTGATATGTTAATCATTGAGGAATGTCAAAAGCACATATACTTTTCTAAGTGTTTCTAAGAAAAGTAAAAGGAGTGCTTGTGAGGTTTTCTTTTTCTGTGGTAGATTTGACTGTGTTCAAAGATACCTTCCTGACAGGCTGTTGTCACGTTTTGGTTGATTTTTACGAGGGAACATTTGACCAAGCTGTGTGATGGCATTCTAGTGGTGCCTAGGAATAAACACTAAATTAAATATATAAAAACAATGTGGTTTTTTATACCATTTAAAAAAACAAAAACCCACCTTTGTTCCAAGATTTTTGGTACCTGATAGTACCTATGCAGGATGTACCTCAATTTTTTAATTTTATAAAAAGTTACATTGTTTTATACTGTTAATACAAATACGCTAAAAGTAATTACAGGTACTTTTAACTTCTATAAATCTGTAACAATATTTTCAAGCCCATCATTAAATTTTATTATGGCTAAAACAGGATAAACTTTATTTTTGATGTAACTACTTTCTTTTATATATTTTAAATAAATTAGAATTAAATAAATGTGTAGTTGATTATTCTTAGGCATTTGTTTATCACTAATCTTATATAATTTCACCAGCAACGTGTGCAAAACAGTTTCAAAAATGTAAAATAACTAAACATTTTCATTTCAGCATGATAGCAATGTGTAAGTCATAGGTGATGGTGTTCCACAGGCACTGGGGACAAGAAATGAGTCTGGTATTATGTAACAGAGGCAGCAAAACTGTTATGCACTAACTCTTGTGGTGCTGAAACATTGATGGTCAAATCATGCCCCGTTTCCTTGGCATCTTTCAGTCACTTACTGTGAGTTGGAATATCTTCTCTAACTGCTCTTTTTTTTTTTCAACCTAGACTTCACCTGTTATTCTTAGCTTTACTCACCTTTTGTTTTCACCTTTTTTTTGTGATACTTCATCCCATCTTGATAGAAAGGAAAGTGTTGATGAGATCAGTCACTCATTTCAGAGTTCTGTATGTGTCTTCAGTCAGTGCTGGCACTTTGTTTCCTGCCTTTGTGGTATCTTTCAAGTTGATAGAGAGCATGGGTCAACATGGCAACCCCTGATGCAGTTTGCACTCTCAAGAGCTTGTACACAAGCTGCCCTTATCTCCTTAAAAAGAATCGGACCGGGGTTACCAGGCATGGAGTGTACACAGGTCCTGTCAGTGGGAGGAAAGAAATTATGATCACAAGTACTCTTTTTTACCCAAGAGAGCAGCCAAAGCATCACTAAATTAAGCCTAGTTGTAAGCTCCATGTTCTTGGCCTACCCTTACAACTCTTCCAAACCTTTGCAGGGAGCCCTCTCTACTAAGCAAATCTAAAAGTGACTAGACCTGACTATTCCGGCAGTTATTACAGCTGCTTTGGATATCTCATGTCATCTCATCATTTGTTGCTTAATGCAGAGCAGATATGTCTACATCTTTCCATTTAGCCAAATAAAGTTTTGGCTGAAGCTCATCTTCCTTGAGATCATTTTCTTTTATGAACATATCTTAATAGGAATCCTGACCTTAAGTTGAGAAATGGATCTCCTTGATCCCTAGTCATATAGCAGACTGGTATCTCTAAAACATGCCAACTTGTATTTTTGGATTATGGCAGTATTGTCATCCATTCCCCAGGAGTTCTAAGCCTGTTGATGACATTCCCTCTGCTCCTTGCTCTGGTGTAAGAAGATGTGGAATGTTGTTCTGCTTCTGCCCCAAGTTCAGTGTATGATCTACTTTGTCATCTCAGCCTTGCTTCTAAGGAAAATTTATTGGCAGGAAGATTAACTTGGCTAATAACTTATTAGCCAAGGAACAGTGGTTTAGTCTGGCATTTTGAGCAGAAGCCTGTGGCTTCTACTCACTGCTCTTCTACACTGTTTCAGTGGTAGGAGTTTAGTTTCATCAAGCCTATCCACTATCCGCTCAGTAAAGGCTCCTTGACTTTTTATCTTCATTTCATAAATGTGTTTTGCAGGGCTTGGTAACGGTTTCCTTGCTGTGCTGGAGATCTAATGGAAGTGAGTATTCTGAGGCGCCGGCTGGAGAGCTCGTGTGTGCCTTTTTGGGCCTTGTGGCTTGGGCCAAAGCTTTGGCTTGCTGCTAGCACAGCTGCTAGCAAGGTGGAGGAGCCTCGAGCCCTTCAGTATTCCTCGTTGTGTAGTGGTGTTCAGGTGGACCCACTCCCAGTAACTCCTTACAGCTGTGACTTGTCAGCTAAGAAATTTAACCTGATTTCCTAAATTTACTGCAAGTTAAAGATGTAAAAGGACATTGTTGCAGTCACCTGCTGAGCCTTTCAAAGGAGCTTTCAGTTTACTTGGTTTTGCTGGGGTGAGGTTCAAAGCAGTGAGTGTGGTGACTGTCCTTTCTTCTGTTTCTTTCCTCCTCTCTAATGGTTAAGATGTGTAGTTTATTTTGTTCATAATCAATTACAGTATCTAACTTCAGCTTATAATTGTTTCTTACAGCAAGACAACGGAGACTAGAGATATATTTGAAGCATGAAAGCTTTTACCGAGGCCATTTAAGGTCAAGTATGTGTTCAGCATAGGTAACCTGTTGAATAATGCAATGAACCAGCTACCCTGGTTTATGTGTTTTGCTTCCCTCCTTTCTAAGGCAGCATGTGCCTTCTGCACCACTGTGGCCGTGATTGTGACTATTGAAGGGGTCTTTTAAGAGAACACCCCACAGGTTGCACATTTTTAGTGCTTTCATGAAGGTGTCTTGCATAATAGTACAAATATAGCTAAAGGTGTTGTTGCGTGTGAAGAAAGCTAAGAGCACAAAGGGAAACTAAAACCAAAACGTCAGCAAATTACTGGACTTCTGCTTGATCTTTAGTGGTGAGCACCCCCCGTAAGTAATACATAGTTCTTGCTTGCCTCCTTCTTTTTTAGTGTGGCTGTAGAGTGATCTTTTAAGTTAGCAGGTCCTGGGCTGCCTGCCTGCCTCTATAATAGAGCGGCCCTTGGCATAATGATGCATCCTTACTTTCAGGCAAGGGCAACAGCCTCATTGATTTCTTTATGTGTGTGTGTGTGTATGTATATATACACACACATATAACACCCAGGCCTCTATTCTATAGCTCTTCTCTCTTCAGTCGTTCATGGTTGAATGCAAGGCGCAGGTCGCGTTCAAGCGCGGCGCGGGGCTCCCCCGGGCCCCGTTTCCCGGGGGCGGGCGGAACGGCGGCTTTCGGTGTGTGGGGGGGTGGCGGCGCGGCCGCCCGCAGCGCCTTTGTCTCGCGGGGGGCGGGCGGCGCGGTGCGGCCCGGCCCTGCTCTGCGCCGCGGCGCCCACACGCGGCGG